GCAACTCTTTGCAAGGCCAAACTAAAATAGCAGGTAACACTAGGCCATGACAACAAAGTCATAAAGCGCGAACTTCGGGTCGACAACCTAGTCTTGCAAAGAAACCAGAAGGATTTCCGTGAAGTGAAGCTGGCAGTAAATTGGGAGGGGCCTTACCGCATCCAAGGAGCTACGGGCACCGGAGCATATTACCTCGAACAATTAAATGGAGAAACACTACCTCGACCCTGAAATGCTGCGAAGCTAAAACAATATTATAGTTAAGTCCTTCACCCGCTAAGGGCATTAGCAGTCGACCAATCCTCTCTAACCGACAAGGGGACGCGGTCGACCATGTAGGCATGTCTTGGTACGGACATGACATCGAAACATCAGCAAAAGGCGAGATTTGTTCATTTCACGAGCAAGATCTTAGCCCGACAGAGACACCTCAATCGAGCTCTGTTGTCGAAGTACTCAATATGGCAGAACACCCAGCTCGTGATGGACAGTTCACGCCACGGGTTTAAGATCCCGACCACGATCTTACACGCATTTCGCAGATCCCTACTCCACCTCCTCGACACATCCCAACATGTTCCGAACAATATGAGGTCGAACATATTCATCTCCACACAAAAAAGGTCGAACATACATCTCCACACACGAAACTTACAAATATTCATGAAATAAGTAAGTCAAAAACATCGATGAGCAAAAAATAGGCAAGCATCAGCAAAAACATAAAGGAATTGAAGCACAGTAAAGCATTTATAAATATCGACTGCTAGAGCCGACGATGTCTGAATGTTACAAAAAATCACGGGCACACAGGCCCAAATACAAATAGCTGAGTTACCTAAAAAATGCTAATCACTCCTCGGAGTGCCCACTTCGACCTCGGGAGAGTCAGGACGAGGAACCACCCGACCGTCAATCACCTGGGATAGAATCTCGGTTCCTTCGGTATTGAGTCCCGGGTTCAACATGGACAACTGGTTCACAGCAGCCTCGAAATCGTCAGCCAAAGCATCGACGCAGTCCGACTCGAGGATTTGAATCCGAGCAACGAAATCGGCACGAGTGTGCAAATCAGTTACCCCCTCGGGTTCGCCCTCCACGGGCATTATGGCAGCCTTTAGGTCAACGACTTCCCTCTCCAGTCGTTCCCTTTCGCTCTCCCACAATTCTTTGTCGAGCAGGAGAAAATCCTTTTCCTCGAGGGATTTTTTAGCTCTCTCTTTCTCCCCCGCCAGTGCATCGGCCTGCTCCCGAAATATCTCATCGCTTCGTTCGAGGGCAGTCTTCAACTTCCGTGTCTTGGCCTGAAGAGTCGCTTTCTCTGAATCTAGTTCCTTGAACCGACTAGAGGAGCTGGCCCCTGCAAGGACCACGACCATTTCCGCAAAATTCATCATCCGGACCATACTGGAAGCCAGATGCTTCCTTCGACCCTCTTCGTCGAGTCACCTTATGATGTCGGACTCATTGTCGGACACAGTCAGAGTGAAGCCCTCGAAAAAATCCTTCTCCATGAAACAGGGCGGGAGGCTGAAGGCTCGGGCAGTCGCCCCTCCCCTAGTCACATTAGCGACTCCACCTTCGGGGCGACTCCTTTTCTTGCTCAAAACAACAACTTGCTGATCAGCATCACGGATGCCCGGCGACCCACTTGATCCCTCCTTGATCGGTTTGGAGACTGAACCCATGCGTGTAGCCTGGTGCGGCTTCACCAACCTCTTATGGCTCTTTTTCTCTCGGGTCAGTTTAAACAATCTCTCACGGCACTCCGCCATGTTACCTACAAAAACAAAAACGATATCCTCGGGTAAGCTTCGACGGGAAACAAAAGAAGTCAAGTCAAGAAGTAAAAATTTAGTAAGCAAGCAGAAACCTAAGAGATTCACGGCTTGCTCGTAATAATGACACTCGATGAGCGCCTTGGTGTTGATTGGGCGCGCCTCAAATGTCGGCTCACCATCTTCATCGAGGATGTCACGTCCTTCCCTCGTGACCCACCTGGAGGGGAAGAACCCGTCAACAAACCGATTAAGGACGCCATAGGCCTCTTCGTCCTTAGTGCTCATGTCGCCGGCGAGAGTATGGTAATGCTCGGGACCATGATCGTAGTGGCTCGAACACCAATAGATGGGAAACTTCGAGAGTCTCCCAACCTCCGGGTTACCCTCCGCATCATAACACGGTTCACCATTTTCATCCATAACGGAGGTCGGGTCAAACACGGTGTCCACGACTGCCTGAGTAGAAGGTTACACGGCATATCATCTGTCTTTGAAGTCGAGGACAAAGTCCGTGTACATCCTAAACAACCTCTTCGACTGTTTGACGGAGACCCAACTGTGTTTCCCACCCCGGGAGTGTCGTTGTAGATGAAAAACCCTGAAGAACAGGGGAATGGTCGCCCCGATCCTCAGGAACCGGTAAGTAATCTCAAATGCCCGAATGAAGGCAATGGAGTTGGGGTGAAGCTGAGAGGGTGTTAGGTTCAAGTGATTGAATACCCCCACCTAGAAATCATTGAAGGGAAGGCGAAGCCCTAACTCTTTGAATACGACCTCGTACATGGGGAAGCGGTCTTCCTCGAACTCCGAGCATTATCGAGCGGTGGGCGTCAATCGCAAGATTTTGAAGTTCCTTTAGAAACCTTCCTGATCACCGCCATACTCGATGATAGTGTAGGTCTGCCTCCTACTATAACTGTATATCGAGGCTATTCCTCGAGGCTCTGCCCCAACCCAAGCTAATGCAGGATCATCGACCGTGTCAACCAAGTTGACACCCTCCTCAGCTATGTTGGTCTCTTCGACGTCCATGTGCTCAGAAGATTCAGGAGTGTCGTCCATTTTACCCGTAAAGCAGAGGAAATCAATGAATTCGACAGCAAGTCCAAATCCATCCCTCCACGACGCAGGTGAAAAGGTTATGCAGCGTCCAGACCAATTCGACACTCACTCGGGCAGAAAGGGGAAGTACACGGCCCTCGACTAGGGCATGAAAATCATGCCAGTCTTATAATACCACACAACAGTTATAACGATGAACGCGTGTTTTCATGAACACCTTAGGCACATGATGAATACAACGAGCAAAATATGAATTTGTCGGTCAAAATCATGAATTCTCCGGGGATTGCATCAATTTCTTGTGCAAAATTCATGAATTTCGCGGGGACGTGTGGAGACCACAGGGTAAATTCACCTAAGTGTCGGTGAAAAGATGAATAACACGGACTTAAACACAAAAAGTACGCATGAATACCCCGAGCAAAACCCCCCAGGTGCGAAATTCTACAACTTAAACATCATCGAAGCCAATCTAAACAGGATTATTACGAAAAATACTTACTTGAATAAGAATAGATGAGGAATAACGAGGGTAGATGAAGAACACGCGGCGGATTCTGCGGTGGCGTTAGCGGTTGAAGAAAACAAAATGGTGTTGGCAATAGGGAGAGTGAAGAGCGCGAGATGTAAATGTGAATAATGGGTCTTGGGGCGCTATATATAGAATGGGCGTGGAATGCGAAACATCGCGTCGGGCAGCTCAACAACCCCCTTTCTCCTTAACACCTACACGTCAGCTAATGACGACCCCTACTCCCTAGACCATCATTACAATCTCAAAGGTTACGCCACGTGCCTACATCCCGCAGGCTTTCTCCTCCCCGCGACTAGAATGATCCCATCTCGTCCATACGCTGCTCGGGTAAACCCATATATCAACGACTTTCTCCGTCAACACAATGAAAGATCCTCGTCGAGTAACGCACCCCGTAAAAGAAAAAGCTGGACTTAAGTCATAACTCCTTCATCAGGAGCAACGACTTTGGGGGCTCCTGTTCTGGATTGGGCCTGCCCTTGGCCCAATTCCATGTGAGGCCCAACCCAATTATGTCGATCAAGGCATACTGGCCAGTTCTGCCCTTGACTGCGTCGGACAACAACTTCCACTCCCTGCAAGGAGACAACCTCATCACACGGGGATAAACCCAGTTAGTCTTAGGAAGATCATCGCTGGTCAAGAGGACCTCGAGGTCATCTTTCGATCCTCTCCGTGACGAAGACTGTTCCCCCTCACACGACCTCGCGTCTGACAGAAAGCATCCACAACGAGCAGAAGCACCTCACGAACATCCTCTCTATAGGGCTGACTATCAACGTCTTAGAATATCATGGAGTCTTCGTGACCCTGGAAAGACCACATCCATATCCTCCTAATCTTGCGGAGGAAGTCATCCAGGTGGGGACCACATGCTGGTCCCCACTACTCACGTAGGACTTGACAGTCTTCACTTTGGGCCTGCTTGACCAGCCCAATGAGGAGACCTTGGTCCAACGCTGGGGGCTATAAATACCCTCTCTTTCGAGAGGGACAGATATTGAATATTTCTCACTCTCTTACTTGCTCATTTCGAATCTTACTTTGACATCAGAGTGTCTTGCAGGTATCCCTCACCTCACTCTCAAGTTCTGTTCGACGTAAGCTGTGACGGTCCATTCTGGTCAGGTACGATCAGATAATAATGAAGTTGTTGTAACCTATATTTTTTAATAGAAGTTGAAGTGATGGAGAACAATTATACAAATTTGTTATTAGATTCAATTATGTGACAAAAATAGATTTATATGAGACATATGACATGTCGCGATATAATCCGCCGCTTAAGATTTAATATATTTTAATAGATAATAAATAATAGATTTGCCTTGATTAAGATCATCTATTCTGATTTAGAAAACAAAATAATTGCATATCTTTATATGAAATTAATGTGCCTAAAAGAAAAACATAAGTTTAAAGAAATTGCGACAACCTTCGTCACTATAGTAAATATACATATTCAAGACAAAACAGGAACCTACAAATGCAAAGTGGCTATCACTTATGCTAAAATAAACAGCAAATTATGTTAGAGATCCATGAAAACGAATTCAGCGCGCCTTTTTATGTGAGACCGTGATTCCTAAATTGCAGCTTCTGAGTGAAACAACTTCTTAAAATCAGCAACAGCCACTTGTGGATGCATCAGATTGGGGTATGTTGTCCTTAAAAATGTTCTTTTTTACCCCCTTAGATCCTTCGGCTACGAGGCTAGGTGTATCAAGAATCTGCATACAACCAATGAAAAGAAATCACTGTCATTATCATATATTGTTCATCGCAAGTTAAAGAAAAGAAATCAACCCGTATCTCAGTTCATTTATCGTCTACCATTGAACTAGTATAGTATAAAAAAAACACTCCTTTCCCAATTTGAAGTGTCATTTTCTCAATTAAACATTTCCGCCTCCTAAAATGTATATTTGCATGCACACAGCTAATCTATGAAGCACAGTGCACACACCTATTGGCCGAAGCCATGTTTGTAAATAAATGGGCATATATATCACTTAACATACCTTCAAAACAAGCTCTTCAAAGCATTGCTGCACATTTGTTCGAGTTTTAGCACTGCATTCGGTAAATAAGCAACCATATTCCCTAGCAAAGTCTATTCCTTCTTTCTTTGACACGACTCTATCCTCCTCCTGAAAATAGACAAACATACATACATAACCGACACATGTCAAGTCCTCTAATTTAGTGCAAGAGAAAAAATATCAGCAATAAGCTATGATATGATGCAGAAGTCAGAACTAGAAACAAATGTGATATTAAGATGCAAAAAAAGAAAAACACAAGTACATTAAATCGAACAAGACGTGCTGATAGAATACCTTATCTACTTTGTTTCCAACAAGCATCTTCATGCAGTCTTGATTTGTGGAATAAAGGTCAATTTCTTTTGCCCATACTTCAGATAGATCTGTAAATGTTTCTCGCCGGGTTACGTCGTAAACTGCACCAGTTTTGGGAACAAAATATCAGAATGCATCTAAATCTTTCAAGGCATTTCACACAATGGAATGAAACTTACCCATAATGATTCCTTGTGCCCCTCTGTAGTAAGAACTGGTGAGTGTTCTAAATCTTTCCTGACCAGCTGCATTATTCAGTAAATTAGAGTATAACCTAATAGAGAAGTTAAGAAATAGTGAGTGAATAATAATATACCAGTATCCCAAATTG